CCATGACTCTTAAATCACAGGTGTAAGCTTAGATTTTATTTAATGAAACTGTAGAAGTGGCATTTGTATGACTTTTATCACCTTTCTTTTGCTCTTTTTAAATGAAAGAAATATCTTTTTACAAAAAAAAATAATTAAAAAATCTATGTCCCTCTCATGTCTCAAGTCTTTTCCTTTGTTAAAAAATTCAGGGTCACCTTACTATGTCCAAGGCTGCCGTCATTTCTCTATTACTGTCGTTTACTCAAGAACAGCTCAAAACACTTTCCACTGCCTACAGTTACGATACAGGAGATGAAAATACTAATGCTACTGTACAAAGGATTGGTTGGATTTCACCTGCAATAATGTGCACAACTATGACCAGCTCTACTAAAATTTGAATAGAGCGGGTGCACAGAAAAGGTGATTTGTGTGAGAAGAGACTGAAAAGGTTGGCTTGATTAGCCTATGAAAACAAAGCCTGAAGGAGGATATGCTCTCTGTTTATAAACACATACAAAGTGTGAATAAATGCATCGTTGGCGAGGGCTAGAGGACAAGGTTGGCACAAGAACAAATGAGTTCAAATTGCCTGTGAGTAAATTGAGGGCAAAAGTTAGTAGAAGGTTTCTAGTTACCAGAGACATCAGAGTCTAGAAAAACTTTCTTTGAGGAAAGAATTAAAAAGAAACCCCAATCTTCAAGAACAGTTTATGGAAAAAGATCCAACAGGTTTGCCTGTCATAGCACAGGAGAGGACTGGGGGACGTCAAGTTTGTATTCAAAGACTACTTTCAGATGAACATGTTTTTTCCTAGGAGAGGGCTGGTCCTTAGCTGATGTGCTCAGCTTTTTCCGTTGTGTTTCAGCCCAATTCACTCCACCATGAAGAAGAGTATAGAGCATGACTATGTTTTAAGTTCAAGCAACTAGATCAGGTCCTAAAATCACAACTCAGTTCCAGGAGCTCACATAATTCTACATTTTAATATGGATAATTGATTAGTAGTAGCCTTAGAGGTTCATTTGAAACCTTACATTTTCCGATGGTGATGGCAGGTCAGGTGTGAAATGCCACCCTCTTTGGTACAGGTTGGTGACCAAGCTGCCAGCTCTTTTTTTCAGTCAGGTGAGAGCCAATGGACAGGCTGGCTTAGCCCTGCTTTCTCCAAACTTTTGGCATTTTTTGTTTCTTTGAAAACTGAAAGTTGATTTCTCCTTGTCCTGTCATTTTTGTCTTTTTCATCATCCTCCCAGGACCTAAGAAACCTAAGGCAGATGTAATGGAGAAAATAATTATGCCATTCCAGATCTCCCTTTACTTGCCTTGGAGCTTCATCTGGTTATGCCTTCCCCTCAACTACTTCTCTTTGGAAAGTGCTGAGAAATTAAGGGAGGGCACAGCCATGTATGACATGGACAGTGGCAGCCCAAGAGGGTGTGCAATGGCCAACCTTTCCCCCTCTACCCACTGCTTACTGCTGCTCCCGTTTCCCAATTAATCTGTAAAGAGCTGTTAACATAAAGTAGCATTTTTTCCTTGTTACTAGCCTACTCAGATGAAATGTACATCTAATTTTATCCTTGTTCCATTTGAAATACGATAGCCTCCCCTTTATTCCAAGTTCAGACCAACAAAAGAAAGGTTTGGAACTGTATATTGAACTTCTGATTTTTTAAAAAAACCACCCCACATAACCTAGCCTAAATTTATACAGGTGCCAGCTCAGTTCAACTTGGCCAACTTTGTAATTTTTTTGACATTTGGTGCTTGTATAACAGATCATCTGCCATCCTTATGTCATTATACTGTATCCTCCTTTGAAGTGCAAATGAAAATTGTTTCCTTTCATACAATAGTTGCTTTATATAGTTTTCTTAAGTCAGATCCAAAACTCAAGAATGAGAGATGATATTGGAGAGTCATTATATAAAAGGCTCATCACTCAGTCAATGCCAAGTATTAAAAAAAAAAGACAAAGAAATATATAGCAAATTACTAAAGTTGAATTTGGGTTTGCATGGCATTGCTTTGTTGTTAACCTAAAATCTGAATTTATAATATAATTGGTGGAATTCACAGCATTTAAAATAATAGCTGTCATTAATCTACAGATGTATAGACCTCATTTTCAACCATACAAAAGTCTCTTTGGTGTTTGAATGCTGTTATTGTCTTCGAGGTGATGTATAAAAATATGAGGTAGTAACCTAAAGGTTAAAATGAGAACACTCTAATTAAAATGCACTAAAAATGCTGAATAGAGCAAATATAAATACACTCTTCAGGCAGAAAATATAAGTGTTTGAGCAACTGAAAGCCAAGTATTTAAAGTATTATTTAGCAATATAATGTGCCCATGCAGGTATCGGTTATGTTATTAGAATGAGTCTAATAGTCTTGCTGTTACAGTTTGAGCACGGTGTATAATGAAACAGGATAAGTTGTTGGGTTTTTTATATCCTCTGAGGAAGGATATAGTTTAAAGTCAAGATAAGAAGTTTCTAGAGCTCTCCTTTCCTGTTATACTGATTGTATTATAAAAAAGTACATGCATTTTGCTAAAACAGCGTTTATTTTTTTTCACCTTGCAGCTAGTGGAATGATACAGCCTAAATGAAAAGACGGCATCTTAAGCAGAAAGAAACCATTATCTATGGTACATTACAAATTAATCGACCAGAAATGCAAGATATTACACTGGGCACAGCTGATGCCATGTGTTATTTTTGTTTGCAGTACAATCTGTATTTTATAAAGAACATTAATAACAGATGAATTCAGAAACTATGACAATCTGTGAAGAAGAATAAAATAATTTTACTGTAGCCAAGAGAGTAGAAATTAAAATTTACATCACATGTATTCTTCTTCCGTAACTTAAAGGAAATAAGTGAATATCAGTAGGTCCAATGAAGTTGCTTTAAAATCATTGATTTAAAGAATGCTAACTGAAGCATTCAACAAAAAAAAAAAAGCCAAAATTACCAAGATAGTTGTCTTAACATTTAAACAGCTGCTTTTTTAAAAAATATTTGGCTTTGTTTTCATAAGAAAGATTCTGTAATTTGAGTTCATATCTGTCTCCCAGTGTCTTCTAAATTCTTGCTCACAGGTATAGATCAAGAAGCTAGAGGCAAAAAAAGATGACAGTGTTTAGTTACAGGTATAACAGTGCTGATGTGCTGTATCCTTCAAAAAATTAAAAGCTATAAATACACAAATGATAATCAGAAATATTCAATGAACTGTGGCTGTGTGCAAGAGTATATTAAATGCAAGCTTCTCACAGGAGCTCCTTAGGCACTTCCCTTCCTGGGAAAAATGTTCCATTAATGTAAACATCTAGAAAGTTTCAAGCATCAGCCTCTGTAATTAAGACAGACTATGAACAAACAGTTCAACATGATTAAAAATAGATTGTAGTTTAAAAGATGGAGCAATTCTGTAGGTTCATTCTCCTGCTTTACAGAAAAGTAGAGACACACAATTGTCTTGAAAGCTGTCACGGAATCGCACCAAAATGGCTACATGCACACAAATAATGAACTCAAGCTTTAATTTGCAACTGAAATTAAGCAGACAAAACTTCGTTCACCAAAACAACATTCCACTGACATTCAACAAATACAGGTTCGATATGCTGGTTGGGAATATTACCAGACACAGCTGAGTTAAGAATTCTTAAGTTTTTGGCCAAACGATCCAAAATGTGCACTCACTCACTCATCAAAAAAGGGAGGCCTCTCAATCTCGAGAAGTTACCTTAAGTGGCATCCCAACTGAAGGGGAGAGTCCCCCCGACTGCAGACCTGCTGCTCTGAGGAGGACCAACTCAAATGAGTCCTCCAACGGGGCTCCATTTATACCCTGGTCAAATCTGATCTGTGGTCAATACATGGTCATGTCACCCCCTATTGGGGCCTCCCTATTGACCCCCACTGTGTGGACCAGACATGAGCTGTGAGGAGGGAGGCAGTCCTGGTGCCACCAGGGCCAGAAACTTTAGCACTGTCTTTGTCGGGTCTTTCTCAGGCCTTTAGTAGGGTGGGTGCATCTGCCACAAAAGCTACCAGCTGACACTATTTGAGTCATCAGGAAAAGCCCGTGTTTAACTGAATCTGAAGTTCCTACATGAAGGTTGAAGTCAGTTGCTATGCTTGTGAGCCCACACTCCTCTTGCTTTGTGTTTCCCGAGGGCACCATCATTCAGTGGTGTAAAACACCATGTTCTCAAACTGCTGGAATTTGTACTGTGTAAAGAACTGTTTTTCTGGTTTCCCTAACCTGCCTTAAAGTTAATATTTTAAGCTTAATGTTTCACATATTTATGTATTTCCCTTTTTTTTTTCTTTAAAGTGTGTGTCTGTAGAGCCAAGTGTTCAGCTGTAAGACTTACTAGGTACCTTATAGAGTAAAAAGTTGGTTTTAAATTAGATCTTGCTATAAACAAGTACATGCACACCTAGAATGCTCTAATGCCTCTGCTTTTCCCTTTTGGTAAATGATGTTTGCTAACTTGCACATTGTTTATAGGTTGTTGATATTCTGTTTCCAGGAAATGAACACTTAAATGAACACTCAGCAACCTGAATAATTGTACTTTCACAGCTCCTAAGTAATGTTACACTTAGAAGTACATCATGCTATGACTTTCTACTGATTTACATACTATCTGCCACAGGTGCCATGAAACACTTTTACTTAAAAGATCAAAGGTAAAAGGAGACGTAAAGAAAACCCAGAATGAAGCCACTAAGTCCAGTTACATCTACCAAGATTCAGTGAGGTTTGACGTAGTATGTTTTAAACTTTTGCAGTTATTGTCGGAGTGGTGCATTAGTTGTTTCAACGAGCACATATGTGTTCTTTCTGAGGCTATGGCAGAGCTCGACAATAGCCATGTAGCAATCACACGCCCCTTCGTCCTCTCAGTTTATTTTTTGCTTATAATTTGGTGGTAACATTTCTGTATTTTAACTTCTATGCATATGCTCTCTCTTGTCTTATCTTCCAGGAAATAAATGATGTGGATGTGCAGGAGCTGGTGAGAAGGTCAATTGGAAGGTTAACAATTATTCGACAGACATTTCCAGTCCCCCAAAACATAAGCCAGCGCTGTTTCCGTGGCAACCACAGAATATCTTCATCACTGTGTGATCCGAAGGACCCTTTCTCCCAAAGCATGGAGGTAGTTCATAGACCACTCTATTCTAACCTGGGAATTGTCAAGTTCAAAGTTTTTCCCCAGGGGCTTAGTGTAATTTAATGTTTATTTTTCATGTCCTCTCTGACATGTAGTTTAACAGCTCACAGTATGACAAGAAAATACTTGAGCAGGGGTGAGTGGACAACAATTTTCTTGCTCCACAGCAATTGAAAAAACAGTCCAAAAAAGCCTCCTGATCTCCACGCAGTGGGGCAGTTGTTTGGTTGCCCTGCTGGTTTTTTTTGTCATCTCACTGAGAATTTCCTCCCCATGTTTCCTGAGTTGCCATGCTTCTCTAAGCCTCAAATGGGTTGTCAATAGAAAAGCCTTCCTAGGGAGCACCTGTGTCATCTGTTTCAAGTGTCTTGGTGCCTATTTTGCAAAAAGGCCTTATTTTCAGGGTTGTTAATTACAAATCACATTTGAATTATAAGAACCTTCATATCACATGAAGTTAACAGGATCATGGTCACTGTCCTCATATTTTCACATAGTTTTTCAAGATCAAGTCCTCTGTCTCTCTCATACATCTGGTTAGGCTTCATCATGACAAACCTATAGCAAATCAGAAATGTGTAATTGGCTTAGGATGTTCATTTTACTTTTGGATTTCTTTTGTGCAGTCATTTATGAATTTTGAAAGATGGTTGCAATTGCAGCAGTACAGGAAGAGCATATCAACCTCATTCATGTTTATAAATTTGTAAAGGATGAGTGTCAGGAGGAAGGAGCCAGGCTCTTCTCAGTGATGTCCAATGACAGGACAAGGGACAATGTGTGCAAGCTGGAGCATAGGAGGTTCCATGTGAACATGAGGAAAAACTTCTTCACTGTGAGGGTGACAGAGCACTGAACAGGCTGCCCAGAGAGGTTGTGGAGTCTCCTTCTCTGGAGTCATTCAAAACCCACCTGGACATGTTCCTGTGTGACCTGGTCTGGGTGATCCTGCTTTGACAGAGGGGTTGGACTGGGTGATCTTTCAAGGTCCCTTCCAACTCCTAATGTTCTGTGATTCTGTAATATCTGATTTAGCAGTGAAGATCAGTCATCTTGTGATGCTGAAAAAAAAAAAAAGAGGTGAGAGAAATAGGGAGGTGTTAAAAAGTGTCCTTGCTTAAAATGCAAATATGTAGGGGAAAAGGAGGAGAAGTGTGGCCGGCCTTGCACTGTTTCAGGTTAGCTGTAAGAGCCTTTGCCTCACTAACTGTCCACAAAGCAGCCAGTAAGCAACTACTAATGACATGAAAAAATTTGGCCGTAGCACACTGCACGTGGTCCTATTAGAGTTCTTACAATAAATAGGGCTATGTAAGGCCCACAGATGCATAGGCTATCTCTAGAGACTGTTTAGGAACTGTGAAAATTCTTCAGGTTGCGCCATTCTGTTATGGCAGCATGGTCCTAGGGAGAACTTTGGTAGTCTATGGAAAATGCGTAAAAACTGAGGATGTGATTATGTGCAGCCACTAGAGACTGCAAAGAGCAGTTTTCATGAACAATGTTACTAAATGCAGCAAGGTGGAAAACAAGAATTGTGTATCGATGGGAGGCTTCATGTTTTGATTTATTTTTCTCTTCATCTTCACTTTCACTTCAACAGTGAAATGACTTTAGGAAAGCAAAATTCTAGAAATCAAAATTTAATCTCTGCAGATTGCAAATTCCATTTAATGTTAGATTGGACCTTATACCTTAATCTGTGCTTCGTGATCAACCTCTAGCTTGGAGAGTGGCAATATTCCTATTGCAAGCTTTCATAACATGTTGGTTCAGAGGAATGATGGAAGCTTGACTGGTTTAACTGTTTTGCACAGTTGAATTGCTTTTTTCAAGTTTTCCCCAAGATGGCTGCACCTCATTGGCAGCTGAGTGAAACACTAAAAAATGAAAGTAAGAAAAACTCTGACATGGTTTCCCCTGCGTCTTTGTGTGATGCACAGACCTTTTAGTAGCTGTGGGGTTTGTTTGCTGTTTCTTTGTTCTCCTCAACAATTTTATAAATTAACTTCTGTTCCAGTGGGAAGTTGGAACAGTTTACAAATGGAAATGCTAATGATTTTTTTTTTATATGCCATCAAAGTGTGACTAATAAGAAATATTCTCTGGAAATTATAAGAGTGGATTTCTTGATTTATTTTTTTTTCTGAATTACTCCCCTTAAAGTCTGTGTGAATAATTAATTTTTTCCAGCACCTTAATTAAAACACTGAAAAATATTTTCGTGAAGATCTCTCATTGTGTCTCTGGGATTGTCCTGGTTGAAACAACTCTAAATTTGTATTGTTTCGGAGGCAGGAAGTTAAAAACTGGATTCACAGAAGTATTTAGTACCATAAGCCTTTTGTCTAATAACTTTGTGCAATAGTCTAATAAATTAGTGCAATAAAATAAACACTGTTAATCCAGATTAATCACTCCTACTTAGTCTGGTTGCTAAAAACATTTCTTCTACGCTCTTGAACAAAAAAATCACACCTCAATTTTGAATTGCATCAACAGGAAGGTATGCAGTTAGATACTGCTTGGTAATGCAAGTGACCAGCCATTAGCCTAAGAGACATGAAATAAATAAACAATCAGCAATAGATACCAAGCAATGTGTTAAATGTCCTAGTAAATTTACATGGGAAATAAATAAAAGTGTATAGTGGCTTTAAAGTACAGCCTCACTCTCTGCATTGGAACAGTTACTAATGAAGCATACTTCTGGTAGTGACAGGAAGGGTGATTCTGAGAAGCAGAAATTAATTGTAATGTCTTTGTCATTGCATTATTAGTGATCAATTACTATAAATGTTAAGATGAACTATTAGTGAAGGAATAACAATGCTTAATAACTGCTGAACTCCATACTCCTGAGCTCTGTTAATACCTGATGAAGGCCCCGCTATATTACTCTTAGATCAGTGAGTGCATCCTTCCTCATGAACTGTGACAACAGGCTTCTATTCCCATGGTATTGGGTTTCAGAAGGTACCTTGAAAGCAATGTCATTTTGTTAGGAAATGATGACTTGGCATCTGTAGACCTTCATGTGTCAATTTAGTCTCATTAGTGACCTTATTGTTTCCGCTCTCTAGAGGTTTGTTGTCTTGATTTTGTTTTTTTTTCCTTTGGCAAAGGTTTATGTAAATAAACTGGCCTCACAGCATAGCGATAATCCCTTCTCTCCCCATCAAACAAATGTCCCTGTGGTGCTGACTTCTTTGAGGAAGCATGGCTTTAGCTGAAATGCTTTGAATTCTTTGTAGATTTACAATGCATAGACAAATCATCCAAGTTATTTTAAAAACACTTAGATTAATCTGAAATCAGCTCCTCGACCCATGCTTCTAATCCTGTGATACCTGGCCTGTGTATCTGCGGAAAGTAAATTAGTTCCTGGGTGAACACTGAAATGGAAACATTCACAGGCACTGGAGTCATGGGGAAAGCTCGAGTAAGAATAAAGAAGTGTCTTCCAGAAAGAGAGAGTGAAGGATCATTGTCATTTAAAGGAAAAGGAGAAATAAGGGTCAGAAGTTCTGTGTATTTGTGGTACTAACAGTGTAGAGTTGTGGAGGCAATAGAGTATCTCTGGAGTTTATCAGAAGGGAAAGCAGATCTCCTTCAATAAGATGTGGAAGGCAAAATGCCCCAGGAAATTCTGGCAAGGTAGGGAGAAAGATGACCTCTCTCCTGGATGCTTAGGGAAGGAGCCTGTCACAAAACCTTCCTGTGAGAACTGTACAGAGCAGATTGCAGATGACATAGGCAAAGCCAGCCTAAAGATGGAATTTATGTATTAAAATAAAAACCATAAATCCCAGGTTATTTGGAAAGAAGTAATTAGAAAGAAAGCCTATTCTTTTTTTCTTTTTCCTTTTTTTAAGGTGTTGTGTGGCTTTACCAATCAGTGCCTCAGATCTTCAGCATTATTGTACTTCCTTGGTATACGCCCCCTCCCAGTAGCTGCAGGAGTTTCCCAGTCTTTGGTATTTTTAAGAGGCAGAATAGGGGCATTCTTCACAGAGCTGGCATACTTTCCTATTGTAAGCTTCCTTCTTCTTTCAAGGTTTTGAACAGACCATCTGTATGGAGAAACCCTTACACAGAGCAGTCAGCATAAACCACAAATCTGGGAAATGTTTTTTGGCTTGTCTGTGACTGATGGAGAAGTAAAAAAACCAACAACCTTGCCTCAGTTAGCAAATTGCTGCTGCCTAATTTGTTTTCAGGCACTACAAATGCTCTACAGCCTCCTTCATAGTGCAGCTGAGGAAACTGAGTTTCTCTCAATAACTTCAGGCCTCATGACTTCAAATGACCAAGAGGTTATCTAAAAATAATATTCCTAAATGTTCTTCTCATTTCTGAACATAATTTCTCTTCTCGAGAACCTCTGTTCAGGAGACCTGAGGTTTCTTTTTATGATACTGTTAGTAACTTAAATGTTCCTGCCATTTGAGGAAAGAAATATCTGAAATAAAGCTATACTGTAAATTACTTGTTTCAGAAGTGTTCATGAATTCTGAGCTTCTGTTCTTTTACACTGAGTTGTATCTTTCTCATCTGACTTTGTATTGTGAGCATTTTAAAGTACATATATAGAAATAGTACATAAGTAAGTGGAACTGGCACACAAGTAATTTCTTTTCTTGAGTTCAACTGTTCTCTCTTTGATGCCAAACTGGAATTTCCTCACACCGTATGTGTGTAACTATGCTCACAGTGAAGCATGCACACATTTACTTGGTAAGAGTTTCATCTTGCAAGGAATTAACAGCCATTGCCAAATACTCTGACAGAAAGCACTATGAATTACAGAATCGACATGCAACTGCACACTGAGAAATATTTTTATCAGATCATATTTCATTCCAGAAATTGCCTTGATCGGAATTGACTGCCAAAATCGGGAACAAAAATCATGATGAAACAATTTATTTAAAATTTTCAGAGCTTCTGTTTTTCAAAAGAAAACAGAAATCTTGAAGAGCATTTGATGGTGTCCAAATATCTGGTGACTAAAAAATTGAAATTTGCAGGCAACCGGTTAAAAATAAAGGAAAGACTGTTTACATTCACGAGTAGGGCTTTAAATCCTACAAATGGAGCTGTGCCAGTGACTGGGCTGCCTGTACTTCACATGCGAGTAATTTGTTGCTGCAAATCACTTGTAGTGTGACAGCCCCTAGATGCATTTTTTACCTGAGCCAAGGATACAACTTTTTGACTCTTACAGTTTCTTCTTAATACCAAATAAGTCATTTAATTGCCAGAGGATTACGAGTAAGGCAAAACAAGTGACAGATACTAGCTGCTGGTAGGAGACCACAAATCACAGAATCACAGAATCTCAGGAGTTGAAAGGGACCTCGAAAGATCATCCAGTCCAACCCCCCTGCCAGAGCAGGATCACCTAGACTAGGTTGCACAGGAACACGTCCAGGTGGGTTTTGAATGTCTCCAGAGAAGGAGACTCCACAACCTCTAGATAATAATAATGCTAATACTCCCCTTTCAATGTCTTTGCAGATTTCAAACCTGTATATATATGACACTGTCCTCCTGCTGGCAAATGCGTTTCATAAGAAGCTGGAGGACAGGAAGTGGCACAGCATGGCCAGCCTCACCTGCATCAGGAAGAACTCTAAACCCTGGCAAGGAGGACGATCCATGTTGGAAACCATCAAGAAGGTACCTTATCCCTGTACTTCCTCACCTTTCATTTCTGAAATACTTACATTAGGCAATATTTCCTTCTGAGGTGCATAATATTTTGCCAGTACCAGCAGTGTCTTTTTCAAAGCAATAGTTTTGATATATTTACAGTTTCTGAATTAATTTAATTCTTTAATTGTTTGGGGATTTTTTTTTTCATGTTATAATGAGCATATTTGAAATGAAGTCAATGAGTTTGTTCACCAGAACTACAGACCTAGTAGAATTTTCAAGTACGAATAATATCCTATTGAAAAAGTGCCACAGGCTAGGAGGTAAAGCAGAAAAAATTACTATTTTGTTTGTAAAAGGAAAAAAAAAAAGAAGATTGCATAATTACACTTGGGTAATGTTCTGAGAAATTTGCTGTAGCATGGTTACTGACATTAATACAGTGAAATAATAGAAATGAGAGTGAGAAAACCCCTAACTTGTCTAGTCTATATCCTGCTATTGTAGAACTGTTCCATTTAAGTCTCTACAGTGCTTTATCCAATGTTAAGTTCTCACTTTTTCCCTTAGATTATTATTTCATACCTTAGTCATGCTCGTGCCCAAGATGCTTTTCCTGCCCTTCAGTCTTTAAATATATTTTTTCTTAGTTATTCCCTTTCTTCATTATTTTTATAGCCTCCACATACTTAGAAATAGTTATCACAGCCTTCCAGGTCAGTATTTAGTCAAAATATGCATAGGTTGGTAGTTTAACCTTCCTTGTAAGTTATTCAGTTCAGTTTCTTTATGTTATTGATGTCTTTCATAAAAATGCCTTCTCGTTTGCCTGCATGTACTTCCTGGTAATGTATACTTATATTTAAAGAAGAATTTTAACCTACATTGTAAATACAAAAAAGTCCAGGACAGTAAAAAAATATATTATTTTTTTAAATAGTGCTTTGTTTATGGCTCTCATTAATAGGACATAAAAAGAATTTAAAATACAATGTTGTTTCAAGAAGTTGCCATTCTGCATTAGGTCTTTAACTACACCAGAAGTTATGATGATGCAGGCAAAATGTAAGGCTCCTTTGAACATTGCTTATTTTTTCCCCACTCCTGGGTCAATCTCTATTAGCTCCAAAATAACAGTTCAAGGCTTTCTTTGGTGGCCGTCCCCAGTTTCCATTCTAATAGTTTGAAGTTATGAGACCGGAAGGATAATCCAGGAGACATTTCTTATTTCAGGGGCAGGATATGGCTTTAAGGGACTCTAACCTATATTGCTCTTAACCTACCAGAGCAACTTCAAATGCACATTTGACAGTCCCATGTATTTTAAGCTCTGTTTCAGGAAAGGCCGGTTCTGGAACTTTCCTTCTCAATGTGCATTTTGTAAATACTGTGCACACTTTTTCATTAAGAAGCTAAGAGCTATTTCTGCTTCCTCAAATCCAAATAGGATGCCTGAGCTGGAAAAGTCAAAATACCCACTTTCCCATTAGAATTAGAATTTACTATCTGAGCTGGAGTTTCAGGCAAAGCCTTGTAGCCCTACTAGCATCTCTGAATTTAGAAGTGCTCTGCCTTGGAAAGGGCTGTTGACTGTTTTGCATTACAATTATTTGCTTGCTTGTGTTCTTTCAGGGTGGGAGACTGATCCTGTTCCCCTACATAAACATTCTTTATGATGTTTCTTACCACCCCATCCAGTTTATCTTCTTCCAGTTCTCACCACCAAAAGTTATGTGATTAATAAAACAAACTCCTTCTGTGACCTTTCAGAGAAGAGCTGCGGTGTGTTGAAGATCAATTTATGTAGCTCTTAACCCTGAAACTTTAGGATAAATGGCCAGGAGAAAAATCAAAGCACTCAGAAGGCAGAAGCAAGTGGAAAATCCAGGGCTGTGGTTAGCTTTCTAGAAAACTAATCAAATGCCAAGGAAATTCCTGACATGTGGAGCTAACCAGGCTTGTGTCCTGTTGCTCTTGGGCTTCTCTGCAGTTTGAATGAGATGGCTTTGCTAAGAAATCATTTTATTGGTGTAAATTGAATAATCCAAATACTCCTTATACTTCATTGTGCTGACAGAGATTAATTTATAAAAGTAACGTGCTAAAATTGAAAGGCAAAATTTAACCCAAAATGAAATACAGAGATTTTCTCTCTGTGTGCAAGTCTATACCATTTCAATCCCTAGGCAGTGGAAAGCTAAAGATTGCAGCTGAGACCTGAAATTGCTCAAGGAAGAGGAATTCTGCTTTAGTTTTGTCGTCTATCTTCCCCTTGTTTCACTAAAATACTTTTGTAGAAGAACTTCAGGATCACAGCTGTGTACTTTTGAAATTAAAAAGTAGACATTGATTAATGTCTGATGACTTATCAGAAAAACAATAAATTTAAAAGTAATGAAAGGAAAATAAAAACAATTTCATCTGTCTTCTTGAGAATGCTTCCATTTTCCATCTTGTTTTCTTTTTCTTTAAACATCTTTGGTACCCTGTTTGTCTTCTAAAGCCAACTGAAATTAAGTTTTCCTCAAAAACATACCAGTTTTCTTTAGTATTGAAAGAAAACAGAAAGAAGTTACCATGTAGTCTTTAAATAGTTTCTGATTAAAAGGTTCTGTGTTTTCATTTTGAAATCACCACTGCTTCACAGTTGTGGTGCATAATGCAATACCATAAGCGGATGTTGTATAGTTCAGGGCAAAGATACATTGTGAGATTTCTTAGATGCTCCTGTAAAAAGAACTTCCATCCTCTGCACAACTTTAACTCTACTTTCATTATGACCTATATCACAGAGCTGGAATCACCATCTTGTCCCAGATTGTCCCTCACCTCAGTGTAGTTTCAGTGGGTGTCTCCCTGTAGCCAAATCTGGTGGTGGTGGGGAAAAGTTAAGCAAGAGTTGCCTAATTCCAGCCTGCTTACCTTGGGAAAGGTCTGACAACTGAAGGAACTGTTCTCCTGACAGCAGGAAAGGGGAGGTGACGTTGCCATCTACTGCTGCGAACAACTGAGTTCTTGCTGCTATAAAAGCAGGAAAAGCAAGTTCCAGAGGAAGCTTTTCTAGAAGAAAATTTATCTTCTAGAATCAGAGAACCAGAAACAGGAATATTTGGCAGTGTTTTAGTTGCAGAGGGAATATCTCTGATTTCTGGAGGGGAAAATAAGAGATTGGAAATCTCTGTAAGCTACGCACTGAAGAAGAAGGTAAGAGAGAGAGATCCTGATGTTCTAGGTTCAGCAGCACTTGTTAAGTACAGGAGAACTCTGGCAGTAAATAATGATTATTTATGATTAATGAGTTAATGGAGAGGAGTAGGGAATGAGGGAGAATTAGAATTTCAAACGTTTCTTGAAATGGCAAAATAGCTGTCTGAATCATTCCCTATTGTCATTTGATACTTTTGACTGTTGAACATTTGATCCCTGCATCGCTATTTCTACAAACAACTCCAAAAGCTGTTTTTAGTATGTGAATTCAACTGATTGGACAAAGCCTAAAAAAACCATTTTAAGCCCACTACAATTATTAAAATCTGCTATCTGTTTCTACCCATTCTGGAACTGAATAAATAGTTAAATTCATCAGGAAGTACAATCCTTCTAATGAATTTGGCCAGCTCTAGCAATTAGTTGTAAATTCAGTTCTGTAATAGGAGCTATCCCCAAACACATGCGCACTTGTTTTTTTTTTCCTTAGTAAAACTATTTCACAGTGTTAAGTATTACTAGAAAATTATTCTACTGTTGGAAAAAATAGTCTTCCCAAATAGAATGAGTATAAATGTAAGTAGGATTATTTGGAGGATCAACTCAGGAAAATGCCATCAATTTACTACATATACCTTCTCTCACACTTACCTGATCTCTTCCCAGTCACATTTGTTTAGCTCACTGACAGACAGCAAATTTTTAGTGCTAGCAGCAACATAGAGCCTGTTCCTTTGTGGAAAATGAGCTGTACCTTGTGCTGTTTCATGAATCATAGGTGGAATTGTCAACTTGTTCTGGTCTCAGAAATGTCAGTGATGTTCAGTGGTGACGTGCAAAAAAGGTGCCGAATTGTTTTTCAGGTAGTAGATTAGTCTGTGTTCACTAGCAGCTAAAAGTGGTGTGTTGAGTTGAAAACTCAACATTTTCAATATCAGATTTTTTCAAGAATAAAATGTGAAACTCGTATAAAATGCTTATAGCATTTTTTTCTGCCTATAACCATGGATTTTTGCTTAATTGCAAAATAGCTAGTGTCTGAGCAAAACCATATCTTGAGAAAAAAAAAAAAGAAGAATTTTAAACAGGAACTTGTGAGAGCAAGTACAGTATTTTATAACCGATGATTGGCAGGCTGACATGCCCAAGTGAGGTCCTGACTGCTACGTAAATAGTGCTTTCTTCAGGGACTTACAGTATAGTAGTGCCTAAGTGTATATAAACTAGTTTTTCTTGCCAGTCTAGACAGGACTCAAGTAGGCTTTAACTATATTGCCAAGCTTTATAACAGCTCTGCAAAGCCCAGAGCAGTGATCAGAAACATAAGTAAAATATTTTTGTCCTAACAACTGACATTTCACTCTTCAGTTTTAAATGTGTCAGAAAATTGCGTGGTTGTGATTCAACCTTAGAGGAATTTGAAAGAGTAGATAAATCTGTCTTCACTTTTCCCCAAATAGCATTGTTTCTGTAAGTTAGATGGAATGAAAAAAATCTCTTACCCATTATCATAATTAATGCTAAAATAACTTGGAAAAATCTCATTGGGAAGTTACTGGATCAGTAGCTGTCATACGGATGGTCATTTCCTCTGTGATCTCCTTCCACTATGCATTAACAGAGGGATAAAACACATACCATAAATCAAGTAGATGTTTTAGAGAGATCCACACTGTGAAAGACTAAATTGAAGCAGTGTCCTGAAACTCGTCCTAGACAATACGCCATCCCACTCCATCAGCACTAAGCAATAAAACAAGCTTGTGTAAGCCTTGTGAAAAGGCTGTGTGGGAGAAGGAGGACTAGTAGAGAGCAGTACCAGGATTGCCTGGCCTGCGGGCCCAGCAAGATTGGTCCCAGGTAGGGAGGAGGCGTCAGAACCTCCAAGAAGTTTCCTGTCAGATTTAGTGGTGCCATTGGTATTATAAGGGCGTTTCTTCACTGGTTTGTCTTTCTGCCTCTGCCCTTTCCAAGGCAGGAGCATTCCTATCTAATCTGAGCTCTTATAACAATGTTTTCCTAAACACAGTTTAAGAAAAAAAGCTCTAATCAAAGGCACTCTTACATGAGAAATTTTCAAGGCAAGATGAAATCGCCAAACAGATGAATGAGAAAAATTGTTGTTATGGTTACTGCTGGATTTCAGACAAACAAAGCTAACTAATAGACTTACAGTTTGTATCTTGCCCCAACAGTTGCAGCAATTTAAAAGTCAAAGTAAATAAACTTGCATAATGGTTTTGGATAGAGATTCAATTCCAAAATATGGTCGGTAAGTCTGTTAACCTGCACTATATGTTGGGGGCCATATATTTCCAAAGAATTCTGTGTTTTCTTAAACAGGCGATTTCATTACTTCACATATAACTGAGGTGAATTTCCTCTTCATGTGATCTTTTTTTTTATATCATATTTGCTCAAATAAGTACAAAAAGAGGTGATTAAAATTTTAAATTGCTGTCTCAAGTCTCAAAAAATTATTTACATTTTAGACATGTTCCTATCTTCATTTCCCATAAATTATTGGGAGCATCCTCAGTTTAGGAAAAAAATTCACTAACTTCCTCTATTTAAAGTTCACAATTTAAAACTGCTTTGTCTCAAAATAAGAAAAAAAGGAAAACACTTTCTGCTGTACAAAGAGGTGTGTACTGTCAGGGGGAGCAAGTCAGCCGGATAGAGGCTTTTGGGGGTCAGATGGGGATTCCTGCCCTTGCAGATCTGTGCTGCTTTGCAGGCATTTCTCTGTCACACGTACCATAAAATTCTGGCTTACTTGTTCAAAAAGCCAGATGAGACCGTATAAGAAAAACAGATATGTGGAACAGGTTTTTATTTATTTATGGTTCGTGAATAGGATGTAGTCAAATTTAAATTAGCAAATAAGGTTTATATTTGTGAAACTCAGTTATTTACCTAAGGATATGTTTAAATTATTTCACAGGTAAACACAAGCTCACTCTGTCTTTACTCTGAACCAGCCAGAGGTGTGCTAACCCCAATCTAAAAGCCATGAAGGTGTGATTATTACAGGATTGTGCTCAAGCTAATAAGTAGCCTCAGTGTCATGCTAACCATAGTGACATGCATCAAAATTGCCTGGCTGGCTCTCACCAAGGGCAAAATGACCTGGAGTCTTCCTGAAAAGACTGTGCAGATGTAGCCTTAATCGGGATGTTGATTTTTCCCTTTTAAAAAAATATGTAAAAAAATATTCTAGTTTCTCATCAAAAAAGTAAATGTTATAGAAAGGATTTTTTAAAAATTTAAATACATACATACATACATACATATATATATATGTATACATATATATACACTTATACATATAAGTGTTATCTTGTTTTTAACTGAAAATGGCACTTCATGAAATATTTATGTATTATTCCTTGACAATACTAGTCTCTAGTAGTCTCTGGTTAGCTTTAAGGAAGTTGATCATTGATATAACACCTTTATTTTTATTATAATCATGTTAATGCTTTATAAAAGGATGACAACATTTTGTTAGTTTGTACTAATCTGCAATGGAGTTGCAAATTTTGTACTCCTTCCTGGATTTTCTAACTGAAGACGTGAGAATAGAGCTCTTAAAATCCTGATTCAGTATGGCTCGTGTTATTAGCAAAGTAGTTTATATTGCAAGAGTTCATTTCCAGTTTTTTCAGTTCAAATATTAAAGCTCTTAACTGAAAGATCAATCACAACTGCAGAACTGTTGCCTCATAATTTGAAGAAAAGCTGTGCATTTCACACAGTTTTACACCAGAGGCGGATTTTTTTCTTGTGTGTACTTAAAATATTGTTCAAGTGTTTTGGAGTAAGTGGGTTAAACATATGATTTTCCCTGGATCTGAAAACTGAAGAAATTTTTTAAGGCTAAAGGTTTTCATTGTAAGCATTTCACGTGGCTCTGTTGATTTTACGGTTCAAGTCATCACAATTCTTATACAAAGATGAAGTGTGTGTCATGTTGAATTAACCCTGAAATGTATTTTGAGTATTGCTGTCGCACATATGCGGCTCTTCAAGCTCTGATTCTTTGTTGTAAATATTCACTGCTTCATCTTTAGCATTTTAACCCCTTCTGACTAAAATGTAGAAAAGTGAAAGCAAGCTTGAAAATAGGCTGCCTTGTTGCTCATCTCATGCATTCTTAGTAGTAGAGAAGAGCTGTGGAGGAAAACAGAAAAATCACTACATTCAGCTAGACAAGCCCCTCTTCATTTGTGCAGATCACTTACGTTAGGTTCAAAAAAACGCCTAACTAGATCCTAAACTCAACCCAATCTTATGTGGAAATCTCTTTTGGATGAGAAGTGTTTGCAGGAAAGGGGAAGAAAAAATAAACAAAACTAACTTATGTGCAATTTCTTTTATATGTTTGGTTTTAGTTTTGCTTACACAAAATTCAAGTTGCAAATTTTTTTCTTCAATGAGGCTAAAATGTCTATTCATATATGTTGATGTGTCAAAGAACAGAAATTGGAGTGCGAATACAATTAAAGAGTAAGACTATTGCTTGTATTGCATCTGCTTAGCATTGCCAAGTTCAATTCTTCTCTGAAGAGCTTAAATAATGCAGGAACAATTTAGGCTTCAGAATTTTTAGGGAAATGTGGCCTTTGGAAAACTGTCCTAATTCTGATAGTTGTGTATGTGTTCTGTATAGTTAGTGCACAAATCCTTGGAGAAACACAAGGTTATTATAATTGGCTACTTCTGAGTTTTCACTCCATTCTCCTTTTTTTTCCAATAGGGTGGAGTGAATGGCTTGACTGGAGAACTGGAGTTTGCAGAAAATGGGGGGAATCCCAATGTGCATTTTGAAATTCTGGGGACAAATTATGGAGAAGATCTTGGCAGAGGCATCCGCAAGGTGAGGCTTACATGTATTCCATGTATGAGACAGTTTCTACTGATTTTTTTAAAACCTTTCTTGTGTTCCATGTTAATAGAGAAGTGTTTGATGGCAGGTAATGTGTTGTTGTTGTATCGTTAAGAGGAATAAGGAATGGGAGAAAAATCTTGAACTTCGAGATACTCATCTATTTTATTATTGCAAAGAGCGCTTGCAGTAGGTTGTGTTGATCAAGGTGGTGTTTGTAACACAGAATGTGTTGAGCTGCTGGTCAGCTGTACCAAAAGACCACTGTAATCTGTTTTTTACGTAACCCTTGCAACCAGTTTCCAAAATAGTAAAATTTACATTGAATTACATTTAGAACACACAGATTGACACTTGATACTTATGGTCAAAGTGAGATGCTGCAACTGTTAGATGATTAAAATTCCTCAGTACAGAAATATAAAGTCTGTTGTAGCGTAGTCACAAGTCCTGTGATCTCTTGTCTTCATGAAATAAGTACACAATGCTTTAGTAGAAATTAACTTTTACAGCATAAGTGTAATATTATGTACTCAGCTGCCAGGCACAAATAGTTGGACTTAGATTGTTTGAGGACATGGTGTACATCTTTGACTTTTTCTTGGTATTTCAGTTTTGCTAGTCTGTAAAAATAAATTTCAAGTCCTGTGTAAGGAATGGTGGATGAAGGTCTCTATGTGCAATGCATATCCTTAACTTTGGACAGCTGCCAAAAGGGACAGCAAAAGTAGCAAAAATCATTTCTCTTAGGAAAATGAAAGACTAATAGACTTTTTCAGGAGCAGCTCTTTCAAAGACAGACCTTCTTGAAAGATCATACCAAGATCTCTTCATTTAGTGTATCAAATCACACCAGTTTTTATATGTGAGGATCCCAGAGTGATTGTCTGAGAGCAAATGACAGAGAGTTATCTTAATATATGTAAACTGGTTCCATGTGTCAGTGTCACTGTATGATGAAGTACATCATTTGTCTGCATACCTTCTGCACGAACAGATAAGTGCTCTGAAAGAAGGGAGAGATTAAAAAATAAGTTAAAAGTGTCTCTAAACTCCTGAAATTTCTCCTCTACTATTCATTGGAATGTTATTCCACTCCTCCTGCTTCATCTGTTGTCAATATCTTAATGTACACACATGCCTATAGCTATGTCACCTTGAGCAGAGATCCTGACAGACGCTTCAGAAACTAAACAGAACTGGATCTTGTTGATATTTGGAGGCTCGCTTCACAAAGTCTTTAGGCGACCAGAATGTTCGATGAGTGCTTATTCCCTCACCTATAGATGCAGTCTGTTTAAGCATATTTTGACTTGATTTATTTTCAATGCTATGCATCAAAGAGCTCTTTATTCTTTAAAGCAACCAGATAGTCCTTCTTAAGACAACTCTGTATCTCTTCATTTAAATTAATTGGTTGACTGGTTGTTTTTTGACTACAGGCCTATCTGGGTGGATGGCTGAGCGAAGCATTAAATTGTGTTCTTCCATTTCACAAAAAGACAGAAGAGAAAGAGAGACCCACAGAAAGGTCTTGGAAATGTAGGAGAATTCCCAGTCTTTCTAGCTCTTTCCAATGGTAAAATTTAGATTTATAGTGAAACTTTAAACCATGGTACAGTTTGCTTTTAAAAAGAGATTAACAACCATACATAAATTGTGCAAAAAATGAGATAGTACAAACGGGTTCTTTGAACCTTTGTTGTTTGCCTTTTATCATAGTTCAAGACAAGGAGTCATTCACTGTCTATGGAAGGAAATAGATTTGAAATTGGTCAAAAATATACAGTTTTGCACAAATTATAAATAGATCATGAAACTCAGTGTCACAAAACCCTGCTCAAGAAAGAAAGAAAATTAGAGATACTGAAAGTATGTATTTTGTTACGTTTGCCAAGAAGAGCATTTAAAATTACATGTAGAGATTATAAGAAAAATTTCCTGTTGAAGGTTGCACTATAAATGTCCATCCTTAGAGTTTTGTGATGTACTGCAGCTGGTTACAAAGAAGAAAATGTCCAGAGCAGAACAGATTTAATCTGTTTCAATTTTTTTCTAAACAACATTCAGTGATCCAGAGAAACCTTTAGAAAGAGTCCTGGTGTAGAGAAAGGAATGTTCTTTAGTAAGAAAGTTCTGTATATATTGTAAGAATTTGATAATTGTTCCTGGAAGTTACTTCGAAAAAAAAAATCAAAATAATTCCAATTAAATATTGTATTTTCAACACTGAATGTAATAATAAAAAGATTTATAATAAATATTATATTTATAATCAATGTCACAAAGTTAAAAAAAGCTGGGGATCCTAAAACATTTACATCAGAGATAGAGAAGAAAATAAAATTTTAAGGAGAAAAAACCATATGTTGGTCTTACTCTTTTGACAAAAGTTCCCACATTTTATCTTTGATTAGGTTTTACTTTACAGTGTATGAGCGATCAATGTTGGAAGAAAATCGCAATAATTACAGAAGTCAGATATATTTTTGTTAGCTACACTAATTAAAGTGCACTTCAGGTTTTCATGTATTTAGTGGTCTGACTACAGAACTATGGAACCATTTTTATTCCTCAGCCCTAGTGGAAGCAGCTGCTATTAGCAGACTGACTGAAAGTTCTACACAAATGCATCTTCCCTAATTAACATCTTTCCAAGTACTTTTATAGGCAATAATGAAGGGTGAAATCATGACAAAAGCCCTATTGAAGTCATTGAGACCAGAAGTTCACACCAAGTCAAGTGTGTAAATAATTTTTACTTTTTTTTTTTTCCTGAGGACAATCAATTGATTTTAATTAAAGCAAGTAAAACTTTAAAATGCACTCAAATTTCTAAGGAGTCTAAATTCTGCTTGAAGTCAGGTTTTTTTGGGTGCCAGAGTAATTTGGCTACTTCTGAATAGTTCACTTCTATTCACAGGTTAATACTCCTAGGACTCAAAAAAGCAAGTTATTTAGAAAACACCAAGAATTCATCTTTGTGATTCTTTTTATTGACCAAATTAAGCCATGTATCTGGCAGAAACTGTCTCCTTCAACTTTCTTGGGTTACTGTTATACCTGGAAAGCAGCGGGAGCATTCATGTGGAAGTTCATTGTATTGGGGTCCTTCATCTAGTGACAAGTTAGCAAATGCAGGAGTGGAATTTGCCTGAAATACAAATTTTGTACTGTTATGTCTAAATGCTGTACATCACCTTGCAGACCATGGATCACTTAGGCTATGTATGTTGCCAGAGTTGGGTGCTTGTAGTAATACAGGCGGATCACTGCCAGATACTGGTTTTATTGACACCAGTGGTATTACCATCCCAAAAGAACTGCAGAAAACTTCTTGCTTTTACACATCATGCTGTGTCTTGCGTTTGTGCAGATATAGTTTTATTCAGTAGGAGACACGGGTGTATTTCTGACATTTCTCTGTTGGCATTTGTCTGTTGGTATTTGACATTTGAGTATGTATTCTTTGACATTTAAATTTCAGTGCAATACTTTCATCTATACTGCTGAAATAAAAGCTGCCATTCCTCTGAAAAACCATCCAACAAACAAATGAACAAAAGAGAATTCGTAGCTCAGAGGAGTACTGTCTTATATCTTAGTGGTGTAGAAAACAGCACTGCAGAAATAAAGTGGTTTTAATGTTTCTTCCAGTGCTCCATGTAATTCAGAGTGGGCTCATCCTCAAAGGCTCTGTCCTACACCTTTTGAAGTTTAGAGGACTTTCTTCCTGTTCCCACACTGATTTTCTTACCACGTTTGGACGTTTGGAGATTGTGGTGCATGTTCCTCTGCCTCCATATCCCCGTTAGCATACACCCACCTCCTGTGCATTTCTCTTCTAAGGGTGGTTTCTGTCATTTTTCTCCCAGTGGAGGAATGAGATAACACACCAGGTTCTCGCATCTCTTCCTCTGTGCACCAGCATGTCCATGTCAAGACTTTCTTTGCATTCAGGGCACCTAGGGATGCCTTGAAGCAAGGATAGAGCCTTAGGCATGCAGGAGAACAGATATCCAGGGTGGGGTACCTGGGTAGCCCAGGATGCTTTGATCCCTCTGTATTTGTCCAGTAGGATGGCAGAGCTCTGCCCTAAATTATTTTAATTTGATGACCTTAGGGAAGAAATGTTATCTATTTTATTCCAAGGGATATCTGTAGCACAAAGCATTTCATATGAATGGGACTGAAGGCCTTTGGCCATAATGTCTGACACATGTTGTTCCTTTCTCCTTCTGCCAGTGCAAATGGCTGGACCTTCCCAGTGGAGTCATTGCATGCAGGTTTTTATTTCACAAATTACTAAGGGTTACATTGAATGTTCTATAGTTTTGTAATTTTTCACCGATGGGAAAAATGTATTGCATTTTTTGTTTCATTCTAGTAAAATAATTGCTACTTCCATTTCATCTGAGAATAGTTGTTGATTACAATAGTGGCATTGCTTTTTTATCCAGTATATAATAATTTTCTTACATTTGCATTATGAAGCAACATGTTTTCCAAGTGTATATTTTGATCTTGTGGCAGTTGCTGTGTCTTCTGATGAAGTTAAAACTTTCTTTTTGTATGTTTTACTTATCTCTTATTCCCTTTTGCTTCATTAGGTAAAAAGAAGTTATACAGCTCTGCTGACACTTATTAACTAATACTATTTAATAACCAAAAGTAAAGTATTTTCTTCTTGGTTAGCTACTTGAGGTAAAAGATAGGTTCGCCTGTTCCCTTTGTGGTCGTGATCAAAGGCAGAGCTCTGTAATGTGATTTTTAAAATATATATCTATCAGCACCTGGTACTTTAAGCTGTGATCTGTTTCGGCTGTTTCTGAAGGCTGACATGCAATTTATGATGTGGCTGAAAGATATACTTGCAATTTACAGAGACATTATTGATGGTGTATTTTCTAGTGTGTTGAAAAGAAATGTTGCTGTGTCTGACTGCTTTGCCTCTAGTGCTGATAGAGAAGATGGACCTGGCACAGTACTAG